CTCCTCGGGTCATTGATTTTATCTGTTGTACGAACGTTTTATATGATAGATAGATATCAATCCAAGGATCATCCTAGGATTCAAGTGAGTAAGGTTTTGCATTAGCGAAGACACTATTTGTCGTACGCTATACGGTCTTATTCATTTCGTTGCCGAAAAAGCTCGTGATTTATTCGATTACCTCGCTTCAGGCACGTGAAACACCAGGTCATTCTTTCTGTGTTTTCTGTGGTCATTCTCTCTGCACCTCTGCCTGTGACACACTTGTGTAACCAGTGCATGCCGGTGAAGCAACAAATGCAGTGGTGCATTTCGGAAAATTATGGCCTCGTTACTTCGAAGGTCCTTTCTATATTTAGTGTACCATACGTAAAGCCTTCAGAGCAATTTCATGGTCACACATAAAGTGAATCTTCGTCCCCGCGAGCTTGAGGACAAATATTGATTTCTCCGTGCTCGAGTACCGTCTGTTGGATGTTGCAGTTCACACGGTCCGCGATGTCTCTTGGCGCTTCTAGGCTTAGTGCCGAAAGCTGCCTAAGAGTTTGGAAAAGCGTTGAAGGGCATTAGGACGCACCGTGTGCTATATGCTGCTCCACAAAACTTAATCACGTGAGAAGCCTGATGAACCATTGCACGAATACTCGCACGTACCAGCGGATGAAGGGAGAATCCCCGTTTTGAAAGCCCATTGGTATCAGTTTTCGCGAGGATTCGTCTTAGCGACTGCCATTCACAGTGAAGCAGGAAGCAATAGAAATGAAGGTATCAAACAAAAACTCGCACGTCTGCTAGCAGCTTCAGAGCACCGCGTACTCACAGCAAAACAGGTGGCGTTAGCGCACGAATAAAATGCTTTTAAGGTCAATGAGAACATTTTTCTTGTGTTTGCACGTTCGACGATGTCGTAATTAACGAAGCCACAGATTTGCGCAAACACACAAAGTTGTTTCATTTGTGAGAAAGCATAGTAGAATCTAAAGGCAGTGGACTAAACTATTCTTTTTCTTTTCGTTTTAACACAGAAGCAAGGGATTCCCTTAGGCACGATTGTAGCTAAAAATTGTTCGTGGCCAGATCTTCTGTATAGATTTATTGAGACCTACTTAGACCATCATTCGTAAAAGATCCGCTTCACATTCGAATTTGAACAAGCTCGTTCGCTTTTTAGTGGCCCGCACAGAGCTGTAGCAAGCATAGCTTTTTTAGTTGACGCTGAACACTTGTTTTATAGAACTTTTAAATAGGAAATAATTCACGCAATGATATGGTTAATTGAGCAGAAAGGTGTGACTTCTTTTCATCATACGAAGTGGGAGTCATTATACAATGTTGGAACTTTTGAAGTTTAATAGTGACTCTAACTTCATTTATTTAATAACCAGTGCTCTGTGCAGAGGGCTACAACATGTACTTCCGCTCGTGCTACCCTGCTGCTTTGGGTGATATCTTCAGCCTGCTGTGACCAACACACTGCGGCGTGCTTCGGTAATCACGTTATTACCGTAATAAAGTCAAAGAGCTCCTTCCACAGCCCGGCTGCGGCGGCCGCATTTTCGATGGAGGCAAAAACGCCGTGTACTCAGATTGGGGTGCACGTGAAAAAACCACAGGTTTAGTTTAGTTTAGTTTCAGTTTATTTCGGACATAGTTACATAGCATGAAATATGTCCACGAGGCAAGGCAAAAGGAGACTCGTATGTCTCCTGACGAGGCCTTCACCCCGTACTTACACGTCAGACAGCCAGGAGCAAAATCAGAGAAAATAAGTACAATGCTCATTGCACAACTTATATAAATAAAAAAACGAACAGTAAAAAACGCATTAGGACAAAAATTATACAAAGTTTACATTGTTCAGGTTTAACAGTTTTACAAAATTACATAAATATACAAAATTACATATTTTCGTGTTGCAAGCAAAATAATTATAATTTCAAGGAGGCAGGAAAAAAAGCGTTACTTGTTTTTTTTAAAACGAGACATACTTGAGTTCTGATTAGCCAATTCGATTAGGGATGGGTATGCATTCAGCAATGAAATATCTGATAATCTATAGTTTTAGTACCATTATTAGTTCTTGGTCTTGATCCCGTCAATGAAATAGTGTGAAGGTCATATGCCACTTGTCTATTTAGATATTTGCTTGAAAACAAGGTGGGATCACGTTTGAATTCGCGGAAAATCATTGCTCTCAAAGAAAGCTGATATAACCCTGAGAATGGTGGTACGTTCAGACTTTTATACAGAGAGTCAGTTGATGGGGGAGGATGGGAAGAAATCATTTTTAGGCTCCTTTTTTGTATAGAGGAAACACGTTCAGCGTCCGTCTTGTTGCACGTACCCCAGACTAGGTGACAATATGTTAAGTGGGAATGAATAAAAGCGAAGTACAATTGTTTTCTAACACGCAGCGGCAATAAATATTTTAGCCTGTATAACATAGCAAGAGATCTAGATAGCTTAGCACGAACATAACTTATGTGCTCATACCAGCTGAGGTCAAACCTAAAAACGACTTCCAAAAAGCGGTAAGAGTTGACGGGCGTTGTATATTGTTATTGATACTCAATTCTACGTTATGAAGAAGCGCTTTATTTTTTGGGCGAAATATTACGTACTGTGTTTTCTTTTCGTTTAAGTTTATTTCTTTCACATTATGCCAGGTATGAAGTTCGTTTAGCCAGATATTAGCACGGTGCTCTAATAAATTTAGATCTGGACCAGAAAAGAAAACATTAGTGTCATCGACGTACATTGCAAAGGCGGGAGTAAAAGAAATGTTCGAATATCATTAATATATAAATGGTGGTCAAAACTTTCGCAGAACTCGACTACGGCGTCTCTGGTAATCATATGGTGGTGTTCGGACGTTAAATTTCATATAGAAGTCAAGATCGTTTCGCAGAAATTCTGGCGTCGACGTCAGTGTAGTTGGTTGGGAACGAAAACACATGATCTTGTCGGTGACCAAGAGGTCGAGAAAAAGACAAATAAACTGAATAATAAAAATTCTCGGGTCTATGTGGAGATTGAACTCAGGCCATCTGCGTGGAAAGCACGTGTTTTACTACAGAGCTGTATTATTTTTGAAACTGCTTTGAAAAAAAAACAGTACCTAGATGTCATGCTGTCGAAGGATATTGCATAGCAGAAGCGCAGACAGGCGTCAAATTAGGTGAATATAGCAACAATGGGTGTTTTAAAGCCCCACATACCCAGCGATTCGCGACATTGATTTTAGTGCAATAAGCGAAAAATTGGACATTGCCCAGTAATTAGTTAATCACGCTCCCTATGGCGATACGCCCAGCGCTGTTCCTTGGGATTGGCTTTGCCTCATTAGTAGATGTCCCAGGTTGCTAGACATGACCATCATTAGGTGCTCAGACAGATTTGATAATCTTCAGCAGAGGAATCACAAGCATTGTGCGCAGTATTCTTGGAGCAGGCAATGGTGAGCGACAAGTCGGACGGAAGATGTAATAACCAGACAGCAATGTATCGTACCAAATCCTAATTTTCCCATGCACAGAGCGGTTCTTGTGAACTTTCCTTTTCGCTCCTTTTGCAACGGTCACAAAATAACCAAAGACTTCTCACTGAGCTGCCGACATTTTCCTTCGCACAGAAAACATACTATCGAAAATATATTGGGGCTACTTGGCCTGCCAGTCACATCTGCCGTTCTGTTAACTTTTGGGGCCTCTGCACTGGGAGACTCGGCCAAGAATGTATTCAATGCTGCTGAAAAGTTCGTATGTGACTGTAATGGATTTACTGGCCTAATGAATCGATAATAATTCTACATAATACCATCCCAGCAAAAAGATCCTTGGTAATTTGAAGGTTAAGCAAGCAAAGTGTAAACAAAAAGTTAGGATTGATTTAATTAACGCTTCAATAAAATTTCATCTTTAAGCTCTGTTAGCACCTAAAAATAATAATAGGTCTAGTAGGCGTGATACGTCCAACTCTTAGCCGATGCCCTTGAGTGCGTGGGTGCCAATTCACCGAAGAGCATAATTAGCATCTTCGAAACCTGCGTAGGTTCGCATGTTGGTATAGGTCGTAAGCCAATCGCTGATTCGCAAACGGAGTAATTGGGGCGTGAGCGCATGACAACTGTCGTTGCAGTACACATTGAATGATACTTTGAAACGGCCTACGCGCAAACTCGTTCATCTACTTACGGCACGATTGAGGCACTTACCGGGATCAAACAGGGTAGCAATTTAGAAGGCGATGCGCTAGATGTCCGATTACGATGTCGCGATCTACACTTGAAGGTAATGTTCAAGGTCCACGAATTTTTAAGTATGCTAGATTTGCAGATTAATTTCTAGTTTTGTGTAAGTACACGAACTCCAAAATGAACAAAGCTTTTGTTTTGTCTCTTTGCTTAACGGTACGTTTTCAGTTCGGGTCGATATCAGAGTAATTTCAACTCAAACTCTTCGACTAGAGCATACATTATCTTTAGAGACGAGTTCATGACAAAATGACGTTATATCAAGCTATCAAACATACATGACGTTATCTTAGCTAAATACACTGGAAATGTCGTCTAAAGATCTTGCGTCTCGAGATAGTGAACGGAACGTTCCTTTGATGTTCGCTGCAAGAAAATCGGTGAATGGTATTCTGAAGGCACTGCTTCAGAGTGACTCGTGCGTGTAGCGGAGGCGAACAAGCGCAAAAAGTTACATGTAGCACTTAAATTCGTGAGTGCAGTACGTATGCTGAAGCCTGAAGTCATAATATGACAGTCTTCAGCACGAGGAAGACATATAAATAACAGTTACTTCACTTTAAACTGATGCCAGCAGTGCACTGATATATTCAGTTTGATGTGGCCACAGTGACGTACCTAGCAATTTTCATGGTCCAATACCCTTTAAATATGCAACAATACGCAATACAACGCAAATCGCAAACAATTATTGTGTTCTCTAACTAAATGTTTTTCCTTGTTAAATTTCTTTCAAGGAGTGACATGCACGCAAAAGATAGGTGGATGTGATGTTCTATGCCTAAAGAATATGGGCCTATTTTCACTATGCGGTGGGCCGAACCCCCATATATGTAATTGCTACTTTACAAACGGTAAGTTTTTTTGTATAGCGTTCATAGAAATTCTTGTGAATAAAGTATTGAAGTTCTGTACCATTACAAGGTAGTCAGAGTTACATCATCACCGAGGTAGGCCATACTCCTACCACATCTACCTTGACTGGACACCAACGTGAAAGCATTTTTTTTTTTTGTGCAGAGGCGTCTACTTCTACCTTAGACACAACAGCATGCGGCCAACGTAAGGTCCCTAGACGAAACAAGTTTCTAAGGTAGCGCCATGCATTGTTCTCGAGCCATCCTCCTCACTCTCTCACGTACCCCTCCTTTCCTTTGCCATCCACGTCTGTAATTGGTGCATTCCTTGCACGTGATCTTGCAAATGGCTGGTGGTGGTATCTATTATTAGGCAAAAGGTTCAAAACGAGCACGCACACGCATATGGCTCCAGCCGAATTCTGGCCGTGACGAAAGAAGAAATCGTAGCCTGGACATAAACTGAAGAGGAGGAGCGTTTCAGTTCGCACCAAGTCGGCCAACATTGTTTCCCGGGGCCCATTCAATGCAACTTATGATTTTTTCAACAACGCTGGCTTGCCGTAAAAAACAAGAAAAAATGGCAGCATATCCACGGAGTGAATGATGGAGAGTGGGGCGAAGAATTCGTCCATTCATTCGTTCTTGCTTCCATCCGTCCGTGCGTCCGTCAATGTGATCGTTCATGCGTCCATCAGCCCGTCCGTGCGTGCGTCTCTTCGTGCGTCCGTCCCTGCGTTCATCCATGCAGCCGCCACTGCGTCCATTCATGCGTTCATCCATGCAGCTGTCTATGTGTCCGTTCGTCCATCTATTCAACACTCCAAGTATCACCATCTCGCATCTTTTCATCATATATTCCCCATATAGAAGCACCGCCATCCAGCGGACATTACAAGGACTAAACGAAAGGTGGCACACGCACACTTTCTTACGGCTTGCGCTTCGGGTTCACTTCCCACCTTTAACCACCTCGAGTTCATGGTACGTACTAGTTCACTGTATTCATGGCACTGCGGCCGAACGCTCGCTAAACCTTTCGAAAACCAAGGAGGTTACGCCCAGCGAGTATGACGTAGCAAACTTTTTCAGTCAGATAGTGCTCATTGTACATGCCAATGGCTGCTAATGGGAAATGAGAGGCGGAGAATTTGGCTTTTACTTTCTTACGGCTTGCGCTTCGTATCTACTTTCCATTTTTAACCACCTCGAGTTCATTCATGGTATATACAAGTTCATTGTATTCATGGCACTGCAGCTCAACGTTCGCTAAACCTTTCTAAAGCTAAGGAGGTTACACCCGGCGAGTATAACGTAGCAACCCTTTCTTGCCAAATAGTGCTCAATGTACATGCCAATGGCTGCTAATAGTGATCGCAGCCTGCGCGTTAACTAAAAGCTGAATGCTCCTGTCTCTCATTCCCCATTAGCAGTCATTGACATGTACATTGAACACTATTTTTTATTGTTAAACAACGCAAAGAAGAAGTCTCTCACCAGCACCACCTTGGAGGTCAAAATGTTATACTTGTTACATACTACGGGGGACGAATGGGTGCCGCTATAAAGAGCTTTGCCCCTAAAATGGTTTCGCTGTCGTCAACTTACCTTGTGCTATCCGAAAAGAAGCACGCCGTGAAGTGTAGCTATGAAACAATTTATGCGAACGCTTTCGTGTAACTACGTCGACGAGGATCGGCGAATCGAGTTTATTTGTCAGTTGAAACGTCAGGAGCGCATCTAACGTGCGTCTAGTGCACGCCAGTTGTTAAAAATACTTGTGCGTATGCACGTATACAGAGCAGCTGGTGCGTATAATCAATGCATCTTTAGGCACATTTCACGCTTGACCAGTTGACCAGAACGCGGCATAAAGGAGCCGAAACGTGCTGCTTCGGGACACCTAACCAGTAAAACTAACCTTTCAGCAAGATCCATGCACCGCAACAGAATCACTTGGCATCACTATTGTCAAAATGGGCACATTTGAAAAACATTGTCATTGCAGTGCTGCTAGTCAAGCGTTCGTACCAGTCTGGGCCGTGGTTTTTCCTCGCGTGTGCACAAGCCGGCTGTAATCACCCGTTAGAACGTCACGCCATGTGGTCACTGACAGGATCCGGCAAGCGGCGCGTTCACTGTGTCACAGCATGAACAAAACACATTCGGAGAACTGGGCTAGTTTTAACTGGACTAACTAAGATGTACGACGCAAGACACCAAGGCTAGTGGTGTAAAATGTGGAACCACACAACGTTGCCAGTTGAGAAACGCACATCCCGCACGCTCTTGTGTTGTACTGTTTATGTTTATATCAGTAACCCTACGACTCATTTTAGGGGCGAAGCTCCTTATAGTGGTACCCATTTGTCCCTCGTAGTCGTAGTCGTAGTCATAGTGTGTAACCAGTCTTACACTTGGCCTCCAAGGTGGTGCTGGTGGGAGATTTCTCCTGTGCGTTGTTGAACAATAAAACAATGCGCAGCGTGCGCGTTAGCTAAAAGTCAAATTGTTCTGTCTCTCATTCCCCATTAGCAGCTAATGACATGTTGCAGTAGGAAACGTTAGTAAAAGTAGAAGTCTTAAAAGCCAACTTCTGCTGTCTCTCATTCCCAGTGGCAGCCATTGTTTACCTCCAAGGTAGTGCCTGGTGAGATTTTTCCTGTGAATGATTAAGCAATAAACAATTTTCGTTCAAAACGCCATTGGTTGATGAAATAAACCAACAAAAGACGCCAGATGTTTTCTAAAAGCAAAGCGAAAAGACGCCAGGTGTTTCTAAAGCAAAACGAAAAGAAGACGCCAGCTACTTAACGAAAGATGCCAGGTGTTTTCTAAAGCAATGGTTTTATAACCAAATCCACATCGATACAGATTTGTAGTTGCCGACGCTCGTTGCCGTCGGTGTGTGCTCGTATGGATAAGGATGCCGAAAGGCGGGCGCACAGGGCAGTGGCGGCGCACACTCGCAGACAGGACCCTGAAGTGAGAGCACGCGAGGCAGAAGCGTGCCGGGAAGCTGCGCGACGTCGCCGCCACGATCCTGCTGTACGGGAACAAGAAGCCACACCAGCAAGGCAGCGTCGGCAAGATCCCGCCGTACGTGAACAAGAAGCTGCAGCGGCACATCAGCGTCGGCAAGATCCTTCCGTACGGGAACGAGACGCCACATCAGCAAGGCAGCGTCGGCAAGATCCCGCCGTACGTGAACAAGGAGCGGCAGTGGCACGTCAGCGTCGGCAAGATCCTTCCGTACGGGAACGAGATGCCGAGGCAGCACGTCATCGTCGCGAAGCAGATCTTGAAAACGTTCGACAATGGGAAGCAGCGAGGAAGCGCGTATATGGCCAGGCGAATCAACGGAAGAACATTTCACGGTATTACTTCCAGGAGCTTCACCCAATCTCATCATCATTCACCTCGTGGATCTGCCGTGAATTTTTTTCCATTTTGTTTCATTTACATCTACTGACCGTAGCAACTGAAACCGAACCCTCTCTTTGGATGAAAGTTTTGAACCTTTTAGGGGCGCTCCAGGAACATAGGTGAGGAGAAAAGGGAAAGGTGTCACTACATTGCAATCTTGTTTCACCTAGGGACCTCAGGCCAGTGCATCGCGGAGCGCCTCTCGTGGGCGCTGCGGAACTGGCGCGCAAAATGTTTTCCGGCAAGATACACGTGCTCTTATTCCACCATGTGTCTGCTCTCTCACCCTTCACCTTATTAGGGACGGAGGAAGTTGTGCTTATGAGGCTTCGGGCAGGGGTGGTCCTTAAACCGGCCGTTATAGCATCATGAAACTGGTCATATTTACCACTTGGTGATACGTGTCCGCAATGTGCCACTCCAGTGATGCAAACAGATGCATACCACCTTATAAGGACTTGTGAAGGGTTACAGCCACAACGCTCCCGTCACTTCCTTCAAACCGGCCTTCATTACACTGTCACAACCAGTTACAACCGTTTGATACATGACAACATAGTCCTAAAGACACTCCTTCACTTCATACACAACATTAGTCTAACTGCACACATATATTACACATACATGCAAAAAAATAGTATGTCTTAAGGGCAAGTTTATATCTCGTATAAAAAACACACGCAGTGACAGCTGTGGGTGGGGCCTTCGCCGCGTCGTTTAAAAAGGGATGGCGGTGCCGAATCGAGCTTGCTTTGAGGCGAAAGTAACTTCGCTCTTGCTGAGCGCATGCAGATCGCGAACGTGGCATGCTTGCCGAGAAGCGAAGCGACTGCTCCTTGTTCTGCACAGCTTTTACGCCTCGTGTTATTTTTCCTTTTTAAGAGCATGTGGTCGCACAAGTAATATTTCCAGGCCTGTTCATGAATAAAATCATCAAACTGTGCTGGCGCTCACCCAACTACTACTAAGTTGCAGGAGCATAGGCTGAAAGTTTTGGGGGGTTGGGGTCACCACTTCGATCTGAAGGGGGAACCAGGCAGGCTAGAGGCCCTTCTAGGCTCTGTATGTCTAGAAAAAACTATGGACCACCTCCTCGAAGGCAATCCTACTATGATGCAAATGAGCAGCGTTGCGTATGGTGTTGACCCGGTTGAAACGGGCATCGACGTGGGGGCTGGAAGAACAGCTTGAAGCAAAACTTAGTGCAGTGTTTACTCGGGTAAACTTTTGTTTGAAACTCCAAGACATAGGAGGCTGGACGCGTTGAAGACGTTTGTGTTCGGCTTCTTTGGCTCTCGTCTCATCGGCGTTACACGCGTGCCATCTGTATTCTCGAACGTGACCGGTGTTCTTGACTTGCACCTCGTCAGTGTCGCTGGTTTTCCACTGCCGACGGTTGAATTCGGCTTCCCTGATTTGCACTTCATCCGTGTTGACGTCGCCATTCGCGAACGCAATGGGCATCACTAACCCTGGCAAAGCCGGCAAGTGCCGCCAAAGATACGCGCACACTAGCGGAAACATGCCGCGACGACGTCCCGCTCGTTGGCGCGATCGCGCGGTCCTCATAG